TCGTAAAGGTTAACCAGAAATCGCTCGGTGCGTCCTGGCTCTGCCATAGTCAGGGCCCCGGCTACTATCGGGCGCTCGGCCTCAAGAGGGATGCACGAAAGTCCATCTGCCACAACATTTTTAGTGCCAGATATCCTCTCAACCGTGTAATCATATAGCCGAATCCGTATTAACCATCGTGCAATGGTCGGGTCTGTCAGGCTAAAATCCTTCTGGAGGACAGAGGCAACCGTGGTGGGATCTACTCTCAAGATGAACCGCCGTCCATAGATATAATGTCTGAACGTGTCTAGACATCGCAGAACAGTTAATACTTCCTTCTTGAATTGACTGTAGTTTCGCTCCGCCATATTAAGTGTCCTACTATCAAATCTTAATGGTCTTTCTTTCCCTTCAGCGTCCTTCTGCGACAGCAACCCTCCTACCGAACAAGGCCCAGCATCCGTGGCTACTACAAAGGGTCTCCCAGCCTCATCATCAAAGTACGGCACGCCCAGTACGCGTCCTCCCTCCTTAAATTCATCTTTAAGCTCTTGCATAGCGAGTTCCTGCGAGGAATCCCAGTACAATTTCTCAGTTTTTCGAAGGAGTAGTCTCAATGGCTCAGCCTTCTCTGCATACCCTCTTATGAATATTCGCCAGTAACCGACCACTCTTAGAAACTGTCGGACCTCGGTTGAACTATGTAATGGTGACGGCGAGTTCAGGAGTTTGTCTAACTTCGCTAGATCTGCTCGACGTCCCCTCGAGTCACAGATAAAGCCCAAGATCTTAATAGTCGAGACGGCCCATCGACTCTTTGTTCCGCTTCATGTTAGATTCGCATCGTCCAGCTGGTCGAGTACCGCGCTAATATCCGTTAGGTGCTGCTTGACGAATCTTCTAACTCCAGGTGCAACCTCTGCCTCATCCTTGTTTACTGGCCCTTTTGTAGGAAAGTCATCCAGAAAAACTTCAACCTTATCAGGGATGAAGTCCTTGAGGACGGCTACCATGGCTCTCTGAAAAACGGTTACCCCATTAGTCCAACCCATAGGGACAACCATCATCTGTATTAGTCCCAATGGCGTATGCATAGCCGTGAGGTGCCTGTCTCTAGGGTCAAGCGGCACCTCATCATAGCCTGAGAACAGATCACAGACCGAATAAATCGACCCACCTGCGACACCTTCTGCCGGTAAATCGGCATGTGGCACGGAGCCCACGTCTCGTATCGTCACCGCGTTAACCTTTTGAAGGTCCTAGATCCATCGGATCTTGCCATTCGGCTTTCGTAGGAAGAACCATCGATTAGCATAAGCGCTATCAGACGGTTCCGCAACATGGGAAACCATCTTTCCTTTCAGGAAAGCGATAACTTCTTCCTTCTCCTTCAGTGGGTATTTCCATCCCGCGTCATTCCAGGGAACATGTGGTATCGTGTAAATCCTTGCTGGCTTAGCGTATCGAGGGTCAACCCTACCGCGCTCCGCGTCACTAAAAGCTATGGCCTTATCACATGTCTTCATGATTTCTATCACACGTTCTCGCTCATGTGGGTTCAAATTTTCATCTCTGATGTCCATCCCTGCTATCCTCTCTTTTGTTAGGCGTTTCGTCTCGTTTCTCTTTCTTTCTTTAATTTCTTTCACGATCTCTTCTTCCGATATCCCTTCCAGTGCAGATCGCTCGCGGCCCACCGCCACTGGCTTAACTTTTTGAGCTACTCGCTTGTGTCGCTTAGGTATCGTGTAAATCCTTGCTGGCTTHGCGTATCGAGGGTCAACCCTCCTGCGCTCCGCGTCACTAAAAGTTATGGCCTTATCACATGTCTTCATGATTTCTATCACACATTCTCGCTCCTATGGGTTCAAATTCTCATCTCCGATGTCCATCTCTGCTATCCTCTCTTCCGTTAGGCATTGCGGCTCGTTTCTCTTTCTTTCTTTGATTTCTTTCGTGATCTCTTCTTCCGATATCCCTTCCAGTGCAGATCCCTCGCGGCCCACCACCGCTGGCTTAACTTTTTGAACTACTCGCTTGTGTCGCTTAGGTAGCTCCCCATAGGGGGCCGTGCCCTTAAAAAAAACACGGATACCACACCGCCAAATTCCTCATTTTTTTTCTTTGGGTACGAGTTGCCATCCACTATTAGCCGATTCCCTAAATCTTCCACCTCCACGATCCGACCTTCTTCCTCTGTGAGCAGTGGTCCATATTTCTTCTCGCAAAATCGCACCGCGCGGCCGGAGATAGGCAACGACTTAATCTGATCACTGGGTCTCGCACCCACAGCGAGAGTTGCCTTGTTCCTCGGGTCCCGAGGCTCCACTGTCTCAATCATTACCCGCGTCCCGTCTGCCTCCAAATGGACAATGTTTGGCTCCCATCAGGTCGCTCTATCGTCACCGCATGCACGTGGCTCAGCCACGTTTGACCCAAGAGCAGGTCGGAGCTGCAGTTCTTGACTGCAAAGACAGGCATGGTTACTCGTACCCCTTGGACCTCTATGGCTGCCTTGTGACAAACCCTAGTGATTTGTTGCTTTCTCCCATCAGCCGTCTCTATCTCGAATAGGTACGACCTGTCGAGGCCCAGTCCAACCTGTACTGGCAGGTCCTCGTCTATGATGACAGCTTCACTGCCGTTATCGATCACAGCATCGAGTACCGCTCCATCGTTTATAATCGTCTCCACGGCCCCGCTACCAAGTATATAAAACTTATCTGGAGGCACACCTTCCATTCCATCGAGAAGGACTGTCGCCATGCGATCCGCTCTAGCAGTCACCCCCGTTACTGCTACTGTAGAAGCTTCCGCCTTAGGGGCCCCCTGACCCTCCTCCGATAGAGATATGCGAATCTTCCGCGTGATCATCTGTAACTCATCACGAGCCGGCTTCGATGCCGCCAGGTACTCCAGAATAGAGCACTGCATGGGCTGCCGAAGGGCCCGCCTCAGTGGCTCGACCGTGTCAATCTCGTCCAGCGAACTCTTCATTAAGAACTTCTTCTCTCCCCTCTTTCGCGGCGAAAGGATAACCTCCTCTCCATCGACCCGCTGCCCGTCCTTCTCCGTCATCACGTAATCCGTGTCAGTCTTCTTCGATGTAGACTCTCTCGCCGACTTGGTGGCTGTCACCCTTATGGGTGTGGTCGCCATATCCCCCTCAAAGGTTATCTTGATGCTCTGGCTCCTGACCGACTCCTTTTCTTTACTCGACTTTACTCTTCTCGCTTCGACATTCTCCTTCATCGAAGGGAACATCGATACATCTCCTAGACCATCTGCCCACTTGAAGTACTTGTAGTCGTCAAGCACGACAAGTCCCTCATCTGTTGCCCGTTTAAGGTCCGGGCAATCCCTCTTGATATGATCTTCTCCTCTACAGTAGACGCGTGAGTTCCTGGGAGTAGATGGCATGTCGTTTGCGCTTCTCGAGATCGAACTCCTGGCTGCCTTGGGGTCAAGCGACTTGGGATATGGTTCTGATGAGACGCCATATCCGTCTCTCTCATTCCGACCGCGCGAATCGTTGCGGCGGTCTCCTCCAGACCCTCCTTGCTCATATCGCCCTAGCGGATCATTCCGACGGTCCCCCGAGTCATATCGCCCTCGTGACTCATCGCGTCGGTCCCCTCGGTTGTACCACCCCCGCGACTCGTCGCGCTGCTCTCTCGCATCTCCCCCGCGCTCAAACCGTCCGCGCGACCCATCTCGTCGTTCCCAGTCCCGATCTCCTCTTTCATACCTACTACCTCTGTAGCCATCTCGACCCGACCTCTCGTATCTGTCGTCCCTATATCCATCTCGATCCGATCTCTCGTATCTGTCGTCCCTATATCCATCTCGGTCCGATCTCTCGTATCTGTCGTCCCTATATCCATCTCGTCGGCCCTGATCTGTCTCCCATCGGCCGCGGGAGTCGCCTCTACCCCGATCGGCCTCATAGCGAGGGCTTCGCGGGTAATCATCCAGCCTCCTTGCTCGCGCAAACGGCTCGCGATCTCTGCGGTCTCGGCCTATCTCATCGTCCCTACGTCGCCATGGCTCATCGTCTCTCTCTCTTCCCCTCGTACGATAATCAGTCAGCGTCCGAGGATTTCTATCCTCGACACTCCTCCAGGAATCGTTGTTCCTACGGCCCCAGCGAAGTGAATAGGGCCCTCCAGGTTTATCCCGGTAGGCCGTGGCCTCTGTAGTGGACACAATCTCTATAACCTGTCTCGTCAATCCCTTCACCATGTCCCGTATCTCCTTCACTTCCTCAGCCACGGCCTCATTCTTCTCCG